ATTTTATTCGAAAGTGGAAACTGGGGTGGAAGGGATATAGGTAACAGGCTGGGGCGTTATCTTGGCCGGAAGGGCATTAGTCCACCGGAAGTGACAATTTCCGATCGCGAACGTTTCCGTCGATCGGCCGTTCGCATTCATCACCGCGTCGATCCATCATCTTGCCTGGACTGGATTAACGGGGTAACCACTTCTGTCGGTGACTTTTATTGGAAAACACCGACTGGAAACAACGTTTCGTTCCATTTCATTGGCGGAATTCTGCAGTTTGGATTTTTTGGTTTCCTTTTTTTTTTTTTTTTATTTTTTAATTTTATTTTATTTTATTTTTTCTTCCCATGGAACAAGCCATGGTCGTCGAAATGGATCGAACAACGTGTCGGTTGTTGGTGTTGGAGAAATTGTTCGATATGGACGGCTCGATATGAAACGTTTAATCACAGGTTCAATCTTCGTTCGATTATCAAAATCTAGATACAATGGTTTCTCTACCCTGTTCCCCCCCCCCTCCCCCCCTCCCCGTCTTCGTGTCGTTTTTCTTTGTCCGCTTTGTTCGCTTTTCGTGGGGAAAATAGTTTCTTTTTCCTCTCTCTTTTTGGAGAGATAAAATAAAGAGGGATATTAATAATGAAATTAATCGAATTGGATTACCTCTCGCTTCCGTTAAAAATTCCGCTCGAATAAAATAATCCATCACCTCCGTTCAATCCGGCATCTAGTCTAGTTGAGAAATTATTTCGAGAATATGAAATATCGGAGAATATATATATATATATATATTTGAATCGAGAGGTGAATTATTAAATAACGCACGGAGTAAACGAATCGTAATTATTTCAAAATACTTTTATTCCAACGGAACGAAAAAGAAACACGTGCAGAAAGTTGAAAACGATGGCAAAACCGAAAACAACACCGAAATCGCTTAGCTAAATTGGTCTACGAATATCCCGTTCGTTAAAACTTGTTTAACGATTCGTGCAGTTTAACAATTCGTTAAAACCTAATGATTTTAAAACAATTCGAATAATTCAAATCCTCTCGATTTCAAATTTAACATTTAATCCGTGATAATAAACTCGGGCGATGATGCACGGGAAGATTGAAAAGATGCGAAGGAGCGAAAGAAAAGAAAGGAAAAGAGAAGGAAAAACTCGCTTCGAAAATCGCGAAAGGAACGGTAAAGTTGCAACACGTTCGCGACATTTCTACGCCGTACATTCAACACCGTAGAACAGTGGAACGATCGAACAAATTATTTTCGAAAGTTTCCACGACAAGTTTTGGGGCGGACCCACGGGTACTCGAGAGGGGAGGGGAGGGTGACAAGTTCAAAAAACACCCGTGGGAATCGTAGAAACCTAGTTCCTCGCGGAAAACTTTTCCCCGCGACTGGATTATTTAATCAGCTCTACGCATAATTACTCTTTAAACTTGAAATACGTAATTCGCCGAAGTTTCATGCTGTTTGTTCAAGGGAAAAAAGGGAAACGTCTTCTTTCCCCTTCCACGTAATTTTTTTCTTTTCTCTTTTTGGTTAAAATTCGGAGACTTTCATTGAAAATATTCTCGACCCGGTTTAATCGATAAATCGTGGAACATTATAGTACAGTGGTATATTTAATTTTTATAGGGGAGTATTCTTGGATACTTTGTTGTATTTCCTCGATTAAAATAAAAACTTGGAACTTGTCAATTTACTCTCTTACTAACTTCGATCCGAAAGCACTCTCTTTTAATTATTAAATGGTGTACAGAACCAAGAAGATAAGTGAAAATGGACGATCGTATTTCTTTTTTTATTTTTTTTTTTCTTATCTCGACACGTTAAAGTAAATTCTCATTCAATTACTCACAAAATGACGCAAATAAAAATAAATTTTTCAATCTATATATATATATATATATATGTTTATTGATTTTATAAAAATATTCGAATAGAGTATTAACGAGTTGAAATAAGTAGATACGATTAGCAGAGGGGCGAAGATTAGTCGAAATGTAAACCGCAAACGGTAAAATTATTCAGGTTTGAAGTTTGTAATGCAAGTGCGATTCTGTGTTGAGGGTCCACTCGGAGAGTAGGGCCGTTATTAGCATACTAGGTTGGTCGCGCGTACGAGCACGTACACCATTGTAAGAACACCAGTCACACGTTCCAACTTGGTGAAACACGCATCTATGCATCTATGGGGACCCATAACGTGTCTAATAACGCCTCGTTCCTTATATCACGCTCAACCCACGAGTCAACAATCCGCGAAACTATCATTTGTAATTAAAACCGTGTCCGAATAGGCGAACCTATCCAATGTTGATGTCAAAAAAATCATCTCGATTTCATGCGATATCAAGGAACATCGAATTGTAGAGAAAGAATTGAGTAATCGTTTCTCGAACGAGATTGATTCTTTGAAAAAAAATTAAAAGATCATCAAGATAAGAAATTTATTTCGAAAAATTAATACCTAAGGAAAGAACAGAAATTTCTCGATTTAACCATTTGCACTCCTATTAAGAATATTATCAATCAAGAGAATAATATAATTACATTATATTATATAGAATATAATTGCTAATGCGAATATATGTATAACGATGAAAGGGGTAAATGCAAAATAACTCCAAATGTTAGAGAAGTGAAAAACTTATCGAATCGATCGTCACGAACAATCTGTCTCTCGATCGGTCGAATCCAGAAAGCATCGTTGGAAGCATCGTTTTCCAAAACAAGGTGTCAATGTTCGAGTTGATGCGTTCGAGGCAAATGGAAAAAGTGAAAACACGGCCGGCTAATGAGCGGTTAACCAAGGGAGGAGGAAGATTCATAACGCGGCAGTTAATCGGCGATGGTTTGCACGAACCGCAAGATAAAGCCCCACCCGGTAATCGGCCGGTGCGTTATTGAGTAGGTGAGCGCGAGTGGAGTAAAGGTTAGAGAGGGGTTGATGGGGGAGGGTTATTCACCGAAATGGTGAATAACCGGCTCGATGCGAGGATATAGACAGCGGAGAAATTGGGTTAAGACGGCACCACGGGGAACAGTTTCGGATTATCTTGCACATGTTACCTTCCTGGATACCGTTCGTTACGAGCCGCCCTCTTCTTGCCTCCATCACCGTTTCCCGCCCTATCTCGAATATTAACCGCTCGCCGGTGTCGCGAGTAATTCGATCCATCGATTTTTCCCCACCCTTCGCTCCTTCGATCGCTGAGGAAAATTTCTCGAGGGAAAAAAATTGTATGCGGAAAAAAAGAACGCGAATAATTCGATTCATCATATGAATGGTAAACGAATACGTGCGTTTATCGAGTTGCGAAGGAGAAATTTTTCGAGGTAATACAAGTGATTTTTCGCTTCGAGCGGAACGAATGTCGGAAACATGTGATTAATCCAAGAGTTTTGGGCATTTTTAATTTTTTTCAAACGATCATTTTTGTTCGACACAGTTTACGATGCGAAGATTCTGATTTGTCGAGTACGTTTTCACGTCATTCTCCGTTTTATTTCGAGACGACAACGAGCTTGGTTGAAGAAAAATATACAACGGGATACGTTCGATAATTAACAGAGATAACTTGTTTCAAGTAAATGTACTACGAAGAAGAAAGAAGGTTATGGATTTCTTTCTTTTTCCCTTTCGTCCTTCTTTTATTCAAACGAACAAAGTTGGTCGCGAGACCCATTTTTCCGGCGTGGAGAAGAAAAAGAGAGATCTGTCTTTATCGATTCTGAATGTCTATTAATGAAGTTTTGATAACAGGAGGGAGGAAAAGATAGTAGAAACGAGGAGAAATATCTTTAAACCGAGCGTTCACGAAGATAACTCGAGGAGGATAATAAAGATCGGATTCCAACGATCCGACAGATTCAAGAAGGTAATAATTTCAAAATCGTGAAGTGACGCCACCAAGCCAGTTTCGATATTTCAGAGAAAAAAATCCCTCGAACCTACGATTTATCCGTGTTCGATTCCATCAAATGAAAATTGCCTTAATCGTCGCGCGATCTGAATTCTCGTTGAAATACGTTTTAAATTTGACCGTTGTATCCCCAAGATTCAAAGATTTCCAGAAGTCTTAAAGATCCGATTGGACGTATCGAAATTCTACGAGCTCGGTATACTATATCTAGAACGGATTCTACGAACCTCTGGAACGAGCATCAACCGTCCGGTGCGGCGCACATCCCACGAGTCGAAACTGATCCGCATCCATTCCCTCGATAGGTTCAAGGTGGCGGCCACGGTTCCCTTGCAATTCTGCCAAGCCAAGGTGTTTCGCGTCAACGTACGTACGTATGTATATATATATATATATATGTACCAGTCCCATGGTTCTAAACGCCTCCGTATCCCATTTCATGAATCCGAAATGCTTCCGTAAAAATATCCCGAACAAAGCGGGGAAGCCTGTGGAATATAACAACGTTGCGATGGAGCAGCAGCTTCGAATCGTTAAGGAAGAAGGAAACGAATCCCAAGGAAGAAGAAAGGGAAGAAAGGGATATCCTTCTTTTTTTTCCGCCCAAAATATCATCTCTCCTTAACTTGAAGAGAACGGAAAAGAGAACGGCATTTGTAGGTGAAATACAAGCGTGAAATTTATGCATACTCGAGCGAGTAAGCAGCCAGCTGCTCGACAAAAAGCAAGGGTCGGTACTCTCTCTTCCCCTGCGTTGAAGCTGCTCGTCTCATCCCTCGCTCTTCCATCGTTCGAGCTAACTTACAGCGACGAGCGGCGCCGCGCCGAGCCGAGAACTCGGCCAACCCTCTCTGAGCAGGCCGAGAGAAGAGCGGAGGTGGGACGAGTTTGCTAAATGCGTCGCGCCAACCTATGCATGCTAATGCCTATCTTACAGGCTTGCAAGCACCGAGCTTTACGACACCTGAACCTGTGGATCTCTGGTCTCCTCGACCGATCGTGTCGCTTCTCTCTCTTCCGTAGCTACGAACGGAATTCCAGGGCTCTTTGACGGTCAAAGAAGCCTAACGTTTTACCTCTCTCCCCTTCACCGTGATATTGGACGTCGGCCATTTGCATTGAACAGCCGCCACAACGTTGGATCACGTATTGGCTCTAATAATAATTACAGGGAGGACCACTGATCATAGCAGGTTGAACAGGTATTAAATCGTACTCTCCTCTTTCGAGGAGATCCCGCGAGTTGTTGAGAAGGATTTTGAACAGTGTTCGTTCGACTTTCGTTACTTCGAGAGTAATATAATTTGGACTGGAATTAAAAGCAACGAAGAGGAAGATTCTTACGCATCGATGATTTTTCTTTAATCAATATCCTAGAAAGAGACGTTATTTAAATGAGGGGGAAAATGCGTGTGAAAAAAGGGGGTGAAGTGTAGAGAGGATGTGAAAACGTGGTAGTACTCGTGCGTCGTGTATTCGTGAAAAGAAATGTTTTCAACGTTCAAGCAGCGTTCTCGCTATTTCTACGGTGCTTGTGTGCTGCTTCGCAGAGATCTATCTATGTGATAGGATCATGTTGATCGATCAAAAGTGACATGGAATCGTGTTACCTTGTTGCACCCCTTCCTCCTTCTAGCGAATATTCAAAACGTCCCGGGTATAAGTAATGCGAAGAGTAGGCAAGGTTCACGATAACCAACCAGTCCGTATTCTCGTTTAAATCCGGGTTAAACGGATTAAGCGGCTGCCTTCGTCCCGGGCTGCCTTCGTTCACGCCTCCCCCTCACGCACGAGGTTTCGGGTTACGAAGTTGCCGTAAGGCTCTTAAGTCCCTTACGTCCAAAAAGGTGCGAGTCAGAACTGGTTGGACAGAAGCAAAAACAGTTGTTGTAGTCAGGCAATCGTGTATCATCGATTATCTTATCGTATTTTCGTGCGGAAAAATCTATCGTACGAAATATATATATACATCGTTGGTGCTGCTCTTTCTCTCTCTCTCTCTCTCTCTCTCTCTCTCCCTCACGTTCAATTAACCAAGAGCCAAGCATTCGTTCTACGAAAGGTGCAATATTAAATATATACGGCGAGATTACACGGCGTGGAAATTTATTACGAAAACGATTTCATGAATTTCACTTTGAGATAGTGCACGTAGTACTTTAACTATGCCGTTCCCCTCCTCTCTCTCTCCTCCTCTCTCCCCTCCCCTCGTCCCTCCTTCGTTATTAATAACGAAACGTCGAGGTATTTAGCCAAGGGAGAAAGATAAAAGAAGAAGGAAGGCACGTTTTGATAGTTAATTTTAAACGGGAGGAATGCCGAAGATGAGGCCGGAAATCCTCCTCCCTCCCCTCCCCGTCTCACGATCGTTTCCACGTTTTCTTCCCCTCCCTCTCTCTCTCTCGCTCTCTCTTCGTCTCTCGATACCGACTCTTTGTCTCTCCTCTCCGCATACGTTCCACAGAGTTCGTATCTACTTGAAACCTAATCTCGATCCTGAAGCTTGGAGAGATAGAAGAGATTATTCCCGCGGGGATACCGCCAGTTTCTCCCGTTCTTCCTTGTCCATTTCCTTGTTGCATAAGAAATTGGAACGTTGGCCAGAGAGGGAGAGAGAGAGAGAGAGAGAGAGAGAGAGAGAGAGAGATATGCTCTCGTATTAATT